TCTTGTCTCCTTCCAGGCCTCCCCCTCTTACCCTCCTTCCTTCCCCCTCCTCTACTCCTTACATTCTGAGAGGCAGTTCAGAGTAGTGGCCAGGAGCAAGGACTGGTTCATATTCTAACTCTGCTACCTATTAGTTGTGTTACTTTCGCCATGTAATTTTATCTTCTTTATACTTCACTTTCCTTTTCTGTAAATGAGGATTAAAAATAGAACAAAAGATTGCCACTGTGAAGATTAAATAAATATAAAGTGCTAGCACAGTGCCTGGCACATAGTAAGCACTCAGTAAATGTCAGCTGTTATCATAAATTTTCATATTTAAAAATGGATAGTACATTTATGTGGTACAAAGTTGAAAGAACAGAAGTGAGCGACAGTGAAAGTTCCCCATTTCTGTCCTCCAGCCACCACTTTCCCTCCCAGAGCAGATCCCTGCTACCCCTTCCTTGCGTGTCCTTGCCTGGGTACCCTCTGCACATGCAAGCTACGCCATGTAGTCACTGCACCCTTCTTCCCCGCAGTGCTCCTAGTAAGACATACTGCGTGCTCCTTACTTTTTGGCATTTATTTTCCCTTTTGGCAACTTTTAAAGAATTTTATTGAAAAGAGGGACATTTGTAACAGTGTAAACAATAAAAATAAAGTTTAAAAAATCACAAACGCCTCCATCATTCTCTAACCTCAAATTCTATCATAGCATAGTCTTGGTCAGTAACTCAAAACATCAGAAACAATGAAGAATACAGGACAGAGGAAAGCCGTAATTTTTATTCTAAAATGGTAATAACTTAGCCCTGGCTGGGTGGCTCAGTAGGGTGGCAGGTTCAATTCCCAGTCAGGGTGCATACCCAGGCTGCGGGTTCCATCCCCGGGGGGGCAGCACGCAGGAGGGAACATGCAGGAGGCAACCGATCAATGTTTCTCTCTTTCTCTCCCCCCTTCCTCTAAAATTAATTTAAAATTTTTTAATCAATTAAAAAGTAGCAAACTTTGTATCACTAATTCTTTATCCCCTTTTATATTGTAGTCTAAAGCTTATTCTCCACCTGCTATAAACTAGCAATAGAATCTTACACAAGATATTGAAACCACTTTACTAAAAGTATTAGTTTAAAAGATTATACTAACATGAATGAAGTGAACTTTCTCGATTTTATATTTTTGTTGAATTTTATCAAGTCTTGTATCATCTGTGCAGATGTAGTTATGTTTCTTTTCCTTACTCATTTGATGTGCTATATTATGGCAATGTTTTCTAATTGTAAACTATTTTTAAAGAGGGGGGAAAAAGAGAAATTTATTGAGATAAAATTCACCCGTTTAAGGTGTGCAATTCAGTGGCTTTTAGTATATCACAAAGTCGTGCAGCCATCACCACTAAGTCCAGAACATGTTTATCACCCCAAGAAAGGAACTCTGTGCCCATTAGCAGTCACTCCTCGGGCCCCCTTCCCCGAACCCCGAGGAACCACTAGTCAACTTTCTGTCCCTTGGGTTTGCCTGTTCCGGACATTTCATATAAATGAAGTCGTAATATGTGGCCTTTTGTGTCGGGGTTCTTTCCCTTAGCATCATCTCCCCAAGGCTCGTCGGTGGTGCAGCACTCCTCCTGGTGGCTGGGTGACATTCCACTGTGTGGCTACGCCACATTTCACTTGGCGTTCGTCACCTCATGGATGTTTGGGTTGTTTCCACCTTTTGGCCGTTATGAATAACGCTGCTGTAAATGTTTGTATACAAGTTTTTGTGTGAACATGGTTTCAATTCTCTTGGGTGTATACCTAGGAATGGGATTGTTGGGTCATACAGAAACTCTGTGTTTAACCTATTAAGGGACTCCAGTGTTCTCCAAAGTTGCTGTACTGGTTTACATTCCCACCAGCAATGTGTGAGGGCTCCGGTTTTCCACGTCCTCAGCAGAAGTGGCGACTGTCTGTCGCCTCTATTATGCCGTTCTGGCGGGTGAGGAGCGGCGTCTCACTGTGCTGGTGACCTGCATTTCCTTAAAGGCTGCTGAGCATTTTTTATGAGTTTATTGGCCACTTGTATATCTTCTTGGGAAAATGTCTAATCCTCTGCCCATTTTTTATTGGGTGGTTTGCCATTTTATTGTTGAACTTGAAGAGGTTTTGTATGTCCTGGGTACTAGACCCTTACCAGATTTGATTTACAAATATTCTCTCTCATTGTGTGAGTTGTCTTTTCAGATTTTCTGTGTCCTCTTGAGTGAGTTTCAGTAATTTGTGTCTTTCTAGGAATTTGTCTGTTTTATTAGGTTATCTAATTTGTTGGTGTATAGTTGTTCATAGTATTCCTTATAATCCTTTTTATCTCATAAGGTCAGTAGTTCAAAGTAATTACTGATAAGGTAGGGTTTCTGCCTGCCATCTTGTTATTTATCTTATATTTTTTCACCCTCATTTCTGCTACTGTATTTTGTTATATTAAATAGATAATTTTTATTTTCTTTTTAATACCATTGTCATTTCTTTTACTACATAATCTTGAGTCACTCTCCTAGTGGTTGCTGTGGAGGTTGCAGTAGTGTTTTAGTTTAAAACACTCTAGTTTAGGTCAATACCAACTTAATTTCAGGGACATGCAGAAACTTTTCTCCTACATAGCCCATTCCTCTCACCTCCGATATATTGTTATTGTCATAAAAGCTGCCTCTTAATAAATGGTGTTCCCATCAACACAGATATATAAATATTGCTTTATGAAGTTGTGTTTTATATCAGATAGGAGGGGAAAAAGCATTTTTCTTGAGTAAACACTCCTGGATTGACAAAAGCCACTGGTTAATTTCTAGAGTTCTGAAAAGGTTGAGTCTATTTGTTGACAGTCTTCTTGTTGCTTTTATAGAAGACTATTTTCACAGTTCTTTATTTTCACAGCCACTATTTTTGTTTAAATCACTCTCAGGGAACTTTTAATTTGCTTTTCCCTTAGGCGAAGTTAAGCATCTTTACTATGCTTATATTTCCTTTTGTGTGAGCTGTATGTTTATATCCTGTCACCAAATTCTGTTAAGTATTTGCTTTCCAGTGGGTTTGCGTGGGTTGGGGAAGTGAGCCCCGCCTTTGTAGGAGTTGTAAAATTGTCTGCGTTTTGTGTTTTGCATTTTGTTTATGGTGATTTTGTCATGGAGAAAAAGGC